AAAAAAAGGCCAGACCCAGATTACAGACAGGACTACGTATGCAACGTGTAATCCTTCACTGGGGCCTGGGTCTCAGCAAGCTGTAGGGGCCGTCACTGCGCCGGGAGGGTGCAGAGGGGCGATTTGAGCCCTGCGACCGGGGAGGGAGGAGGTGCTGCGAGCCCGGGAGCCACGTGCAGAACTGGACCAGGGCTGTCGTGATGTTCCAACTTACTTTCTGCTGGTTCGGCCCCAAAACGTCAAACAGGGAAAAGCGGACTATGTAAAGGTCTACTATTCTTGCAACGTTTCTGGAGGTTTGAAATTTCTCAACATAGACAGTTTAGGGGAAAAAAGGAAAATAAGAGAAAAAAAACAAGACCTACCTCCAGAGCCATTAATCGTGGGCAATTTCAAGGAAGTTCTATGAAACCTTCCGGGAAAGAAATTCCATATATTATGGCCACTGACGGTTACGGGCTTCCTCAGTGTTGAGGCCAGTACAGCTCTGAAACAAAGCTGGCCAAGCACACACACACAACGTGAGAGCCACAGGTCAACTTTACCGATAGGCATAGTCAACCAAACGATCAGACTGAATCTGTTAGCGTACAAAATAAGAACACCACATCGTGACCAAGGAGGATTTAGCCTCAGAACACAAGGACGTCTGTTCTGACGTCAACAGGCTAGGGAGAGAACCACGAAGGTGGTCACTTTGGAAAACTTTGATAGAAGCATCTTGATTAATATCCATCATCCCTTCCTTATTGACAAAACAAACTCTTCCGAAGCTAGGAGGAGAAAACCACTTCTTTAGCCAAGTGAAAGATGCCCCCCACAAAGGACGGGTGGGGGCGGGGGAGGGTGAAGTCTTAGTGAGACGCGGGCAGGGGCACAGAGCCAGTGGTGTAGGAATCCAAACCTAGGAGCTCAGGAGCCCCGGCCAGGGCACGGAGAGAGGCAGCGCCCACCTCTTCGTTCCCACCATCTGCCCTGCCCAGGGCCAGAGAGCCAAAATTCCAAGGCCATCGACCAAACACAAATGCCAATGAGAATAGAGCAAGGTGACTGGACACTGAACATTCCAAAGACGCCAGGAGTAACCACCAACTCCGTAATGGAAGATTACAGTCCATTCACGATGGCAACCAAACCTTCAAATTCTTTAAAAAAAAAAATTTTTTTAATGTTTATTTATTTTTGAGACAGAGAGAGACAGAGCATGAACGGGGCAGGGGCAGAGAGAGAGGGAGACACAGAATCGGAAGCAGGCTCCAGGCTCTGAGCCATCAACCCAGAGCCCGGCGCGGGGCTCGAACTCACGGACCGCGAGATCGTGACTTGAGCTGAAGTCGGATGCTTAACCGACTGAGCCACCCAGGCGCCCCCATACCTTCAAATTCTTAAGAGTAAACTTACCACAAACATGCATGGCCTGTAAGAGGGGAACCATTAACTGGAGAGATGCTCAACGTTCCCACACAGGAAAGGTCAAGATGGAGGGCATCCCCCAGATTAATCTATGAATTCACAACGTAATCCCAATGAAAAGCTCAACGCAAGTTTTACTTTTTCACTGTGGAGGCAACAGGCTGGTTTTAAAACTTCTTTGGAGTGGGGCACCCGGCTGGCTCAGTCGGAAGAGCGTGCGACTCTTGATCCCGGAGTCGTGGGTTCAAGCCTCGCGGTGGGTGCAGAGATTATGTAAGTAAATAAATTAAAAGAATATATTTGGAGAAAAAACAGCTAAGAAATTGTTCTAATGGGGGAACAAAGAGATTTGCTCTGCCCAGTCTCCTGTTACAGGCGGTGCTGACAGAGGAAGAGAATCCAGTGGGTGCACTGGGGGACGGCCTGTCCATTAATAGAAACGTGTAAACAAAGGAATTTGACTGTAATAAAGACATTTCGAGTTGGAGGGAAATCGGTGGCACGGGGCCAGCATGCCATCCACTTTCGAAAGAAATAAACTCAGGCCCTTGCCTACACATGCACGCAGCCATCGCACACACTCCCTCTCTCAGACGTCGTCGTGACGGCACGACAGCAGAGACCCCCTGCCAGACTCCTGCAGGCACCACGAGAGAACGTTTATCGTAGGTGAGGCAGACTGGACTGCACGAGAATTCATCTGTGTTAAGACAGAACACCCTTAGAATCGAGGCACAATCGAAGGATTAGTGATACCGGCCAGAGTACTTGCAACAGGGAATACGGACGATGAGTGAAGAGCTTCTGGAAATCAGGACGAGGGGTGAAGGTGTGCAGGCGAGCCCCGGAAGAAGAAATGGCCAACGCACGTGTGGAAAGCCGTGACCTCAGTCAGTGAGAATGAGAAACGTGTGAACGGAGACCTGCTGTCTTTGCCTGATCGGTGTGGCAGCCAGTGTGAGCACGCCCAGCCCCAGGGCCGTGTTTTCGGACAGCAACAGGGCAGGCTGTCCGGCTCCTGGCCTCCTACGGACAAACTACTGAGGGCAGAGAGACCGGCGAGAGCCCCACGGCCCTCACTGCCATCTCCCACGGGAGCACCCTGGTGTGCACGCTCTGATCCCGAGCGGCCATCAGAGGGGCAGGACAGAGAGAAGACCGACGTGGAAGACACAGAAGGCCACCTGTGCAGCTACCAGTATGCTACGTCCCAGTAAGACGACACAGAGAGGTCTAGAAGGAAGAAGTTGGCTGGACTTCTTACGGGGAGGCGTTCGTCTCTCGGTCACACGGCAGGGAGGCGCCGACTCGTCAGTGCCCAGGAGCCCACTGCCCCGCCACCCCGTGCCCGGGGCAGCCACCAGTGCCTGGCTCCCGAGGCCTTGGTCTGACGGAGGAATGTGCCGCTCAGGCCACTACCCGGAGAGGGGAGCCTCCATCTTTCTCCCGACGGGCTCAGGGTCCCGGAGCCGGTGCCGTCCTGCCCCCCCTCCTCAGCGCAGCCCCTGAGAAGTCGTCGGTGGGGAGCCCCCGAGGAGGTGACGAGCGCTCAGGCCGGCCTGTCACCAGGCTGCTCCTCCTCCTGCGCTCCCGCCCCGCTTCCCGAGCCCGCTGGGCCCCTGTGGCTGGGCCGGGTGGGGCGAAGCCTCCGTCACCACTGATTTGCCTCCATGTGCGGAGATGCAGACACTCGGGGGGCGTCCCTGTAACGAGGCGAGTCTTACCTCTTTGTCAAAGTCCTGGTCGGGGTCGGACATACTCCTAAGGGGCACAGCCACTCCGGGCTCCGACCCACCTACGGAACGAGGACAGCCGTCATCTGGACTGAAAGCCTGGAGCTCCCCCACGCAGCCCACCCCCCCCCCTTGGG